CTGCAGGATTTCTCAAACATGCATGAATGAGTCAAAGCAAGGCTTTGGGCATGTTTTTTGTTGTTTGTTTGCTGTTGCATGTTATGTTGTTTTGTTTGTCTAAAACTGTGTTTGCTGCATGACCTGTCTTAACTGCCCTCTCCCCCCCTTCCTTGACTGTACAGCACCTTGTGAATTTATTTCTGTGAAAGGTGCTATATAAATAAAACTTTACTTACTCACTTTTTATGAGAGTATAACATTATAACATGATATAAAACTCAAAAAAGTTGATTTTACATGATATTGCCCCTTTAATAAAGACTCAGCAAATCATTATTTGCAACAAAATTTATGAATGTTTGTAATCAATTTTTAATAATAAACTACATATTTATATTCCATCAGATTGTCTTTGCAATTTTAAATTGCTGGATGACCAAACTTCCATACAGAGACTAAAGTCTAAAATTTAGAGAACAAAAAAAAAAAAAAATCAGTATCAACAAGTTTATTAATCCCACTGACATACAGATCTTTTGTTTGGTGGATGATTGAAGGCAACTTAAATATGCATGTTTTTCAACCTGTTGGAGGAAACTGGAGTGCCTCACAACCCACACAAACATAACTTCACACAGAATCACCCAGGTCCAATTCAGAGCTTGAACCTAGGACTTTCTTGCTGGGAGATAAAAGTCCAATCTAAAACAAAGACATTGAAGACAGACTAAACCAAAATGAACTGGCAGGATCGTAAAGGAAAACTGACAGCAACAAGACAAGAAGAAGAAGCTGAAATTGTCTGAAAGGACAACGGGTGGGCTAGAAAACCACCAAAAGACAAGGAAGATGAAAAGAATGAGTGCTGCGTTTCTGGTTCCTAGTGTAGGCACAATTATTACATTGTAGAAAGAAAAGAAAATTAAACTGAGACATGAACATCTCGGCCACATTCTGCTTAGGGCTGCAAAGTACAAGGGCACATAATTCAAATTACAACGCTCTGTCAGGAATCGGACAWGTCCAGGGGGGATGGGTAGGCAGTGTTGAATTTATTCTATGGACGTGAGCTTACCTTTCGTTTGGCATTCAGCTGCTCTGTGTAGCGGTCAGAAGAGTCTCCAGGGATCTCACTGGCCCAGAGTGTCAGGCCCACCACCAGGTAAGCACAACCCATCACCAGCAGAGGAAGGAAGTAGATCAGGATTGCCACACACACATGATACCTACAAACACATGCAGTGCATTACGTCAGAGAAATATGTAGCTACATCTAACTACAGCTGGACAAGCATGATCACCTCCTACATGATGTGTACTAACTTGCTGATGTGACAGATGTATAGCAGTGGACTTGCTCATTCATTAATGCAGGGCTGGAATTTTGGCATATCTCCAGGGAATAAAAATACATTTTAAATGTCAGGCTCACCTGACCAGAGATTTAACACACATTTTTCTAGACTTATCAGAGGGCCAACTTTCACTTTAAACACACTAAACAGGTCTTGTCAATCAGGAAACAGGTGGGGGTGAGACTTGTCAAAATGTTGATTCAGATCCACCAGAAGTTGGAGCGGTGGTCAAAATAGATTTGTTAGAACAAGTTTGAAAAAGAACAGGAAATAATATAAAAAAATGACAGATATTTAAAAAACAGCTGTCATATAAGAAAAACTGGCAGGATGATGTTTACTGATTCCCCCACGCAATAGAGACGAGCTGCGCAGATGGATGCTAAAGTTAGCTGAACAGTTAGCATACAGGTGTGTGTGTGTGTGTGTGTGTGTGTGTGTGTGTGTGTG